TATCATATGATCCTCCTCATCTGCATATCAGATCAATTGCATGATACAACGTTAAGCATGGTGTGAAACACATAACTCAGACAGTAACCATCAAAAACACATCTCTAGAGAATGATAACATAAACAACTTGAATCCAAGAGAGTGCTAAAGCCTATTAAACCATCTCCATATACATAAGAATCTGATTCTGAAGAAAAGTTCCTATCCAGTAAATCAGCAGCAAAACAAACCAATCTACAAATCTTCCTCGACTGAGAAATTCATATGAATCAAGTACGACAACAAAGATCCTGAATCAACAATAGCAACATCACTCAAGCTAACACTAGACGTAGATAAAGAGAAATCAAAAACACCAAAGCATGAATCTGGAATCAACGAGAATTACAAAGAAGATCGAGATTTGTGTTTTACCAGAGAAAGGTTTTCGTTTGAGGTTAGGATCGAGCTGATTACACCAACGCAATCGGCAAGATTTACCAGAACGACCTGGGATTCCACGAGACATCAGAGTCCAATTTCTCGGCCCACACTTTTTCACAAGCCTCGTGAGAGCCTCATCTTGCTCCGGAGACCAAGATCCTTTCACTTTACTCTTTCCTCCGCCGTTCGAGTCACTTTTCGCTAACTCGGCGAGCTCTGCCTCGACTGCAGCGTTTATTGTATCTTCCGAGATATCAACACCACTAAACGGACTCAGAGACGGCATTAGCTCCGGCGGCTGAGAGATTTCTGAGTTCATCGGAAGCTAAACTAACTTTCGTCTTAGAGAATTAGAAAAAAAAAATTGAAATTCAAAAAAATGTAACCAACCGGGGTCTTCTGGCTGTACCTGCTAAGCCTAACTGCAAAGTTGAGAGTGGGGGCTGTTCTGGTTATGTGAAATTACTAATTTACCCTTTTAGCTGACTCACCTTTTTTCAAAACCGTTATTATGACTCGGAGTTGACCTTTTCAACTTGCAAATTAAGGGGGTGATTGGTGTGATGTTGTAAGGACTTTTACTACAATTAAAAGTATTAACAGCCATGATTTATCCAATCACATTTTTACTTTATTTTTTATTTTTATAGTTTTAAAAGCCCTTAACTTTCATTCTAGGCTATATCATCCTTTTTTATTTATTTTTTGGTAAATCTTTTTATTTTGCAAATATAAATTCCATATATTTTTTTGAAAAATCAAAATGGAATATACAATGTACAATATTATTATTTCGTTAAAAACAAATAATTGATAAAATATTCTTACAATTATAAAGTTATTAATTAAAATCTTAGAAATATCAAATGATAACAAAAAAAAAACAAAATATGGATAATGAAGAAAGTGGAACAAACGAACAGTATTAAAATTAAAATTACTTTAATATTTCAAAATTATCCGTAATTATTCAGATTCATTTTTTGAAAATATAATATTTATAAAATTGATATGTATCTATTAGTTTAAAAACATTCAAAAATATATGTTTTACTATTAATAGTGAAAATCAATATAAAACAATAATAGTCAATAAAAAAAAATTATACACAAAATAAATTAGCACATAATAGTAGATCACTAATCATTCAAAAACTAGAGAAAATCATAAATTTTAAAGCATACCAATACAAAAAAAAATATTCCAACAAATTTAAAATTAAAATTACTACACAAACTATTTTTAAAAGATCACCAACATTATAAATACAATGACCAATGGAGTTTTAACTTGCAAATCCAACAAGTACTATGATTCCAAGTTTTTGCTTGTTTATCCCACTTCTTAATTATGCTTTTGGGTACTAAATTTCTCCATGAAATAATAAATATAAATAAATTTATTTTTGTCAAATATTTATCAGTTAGTTTATTTTTAAACTTTTGTAATTCTTTTACTAATAAATCTTTTTGTTATGATATTAAAATAACATTCACAATTTTTACAGTCACAGCTTCTAAAGTAGTATTTACCAATTAGACTTTTAAAAATATTTTAAAGTTACAGCCACAGTTTTTATAGTACTCTGCAGCCAAAAGTTTACAGTAAAAGTCCTTACCAATCGCTCCCTAAATTTATTAACAGCGAGAGATTACTGAGAATTTGATATTAATTAATGAAGTTTGGCGGAATTATTAATGGTTTAGATTTTTAAGAAATTTTATAAAAGTAGTTATCAGTAATACATAACACATAAGTCGTAAATTTCCGATTAGAATTCAATTTTTGAAACTTCTTTGAATTAAAATATAGTAACTGTGTGTTCTGTGATTGTTCTGCAATTACATAAAAAAGGCATCAACTCTTGTATTTAAATCTTGATCTTCTAGGACATGTCTTTAACATGTTCACTTGACAGCTTTTTCAAACATTTTGGAACAGAGAACTGATTAAAGGAAGAGAGTGGGCCAAATAGTTTTTGGAAGCATAGTTAAAAGCATGTATTAGAAGATCAAGATTCAAATACAATCAATCATATGGTTGAAAAAAATACGATATGATTTCCACCATTAAATCCTATACATGTATCAAATATCAAATCAAAGATTTAGAACTTCGTAACTTAGCAAAGAAAAAAACAAGCATATTCAATAGATCAAAAACAACCATTTTTGTTTGGGCCAACGACCAGAACAAATAAATTAACCCCCTTTTCACTGTCGGTAAGACTCGACCCATGACTTGGTCATGCTTCCTCCCCAAGAGCTCTCGCCAAAATCGACTACTAAAGTTACCGACACCGGGTTAAACGACTTGTTAAGTGTACTGATCGTATATAATATAGTTATGATGTTACATATCTATTGATGTTATAACCCTTCTAGAATCTAGAGCATGAAAGATATATAGGTAGTGAGCGACAAGAGTGCTACAGTGGAACTGGAGTTTTTGTCCTATGCAGAGCCGACATTTTCATATATGTTCTCTACACTCACTTATTTCCAAATGACTCACTTTTGTTTTTGATTCTAATCAACATCTCTTTCACTTTCAAACATATATCGACAGACCACGCATGCCCATTTTACCCCACCATTTGCATGCAATATGCATGTCTGCGTCTACAAGCACCTATTGATCACCTACTCAACATATATACATAAACATATATGCATGTGTAAAGGTTTGAGTAAGTGAAAACGCACACATTCTCACGAATGAGCACTTCTGACTAAATTTTTAAGAAATCTTTGAATTAAAAGACCTACTTTATTTTATTTCATGGAGCATGAACACTTAATCTTCCACAGTCTTCTACTTTCGTTTCCTAAACATTGATGATTCATAACGACTAAGTGATTGTAGTCCACTACATTTCCTCACACGCACATACATATAAACGCAAAAACGAAGGATGCAAACATTAATTGGCATATCACATTATGGAGTGAAAGACATCGAAAATTAAAATATGATATGAATATATTTAATTGTAAAATTTTCTAGAAATATCTTACAAATTCCTAATTTAGGTATTAATGATGATGCATAATCTTGACTTTTCGGTTACTGATGTTTCAAAATTATTCAAGAAAGCTAAGATTGTAAATTGTTTTGCTTGCATGTGAAAAATTTGAAGGGAGAAAACAGGGCCGGCGCAGAGGGCAAGCCACCGAAGCCACCGATTAGGGCTTCAAAATTTGAGGTCCTTTTTATCTAAAAACTTGTTAAGTTTTCTTATATACAATAATTTTTGTAGGGCTTTTTAAAAATATTGTTGGCTTTTAGAGACAACTACAACAATTTTTTTAATGGTAAAAATCTAATTTAAAAGAATTTTTTTTATGGCTTTAATTTTGCTTAGGGCACCCAAATTTACCGGGTCGGCGAAAATGACAATCATGTGATGCCTATAAGCCAGTGCATTATTTGACATGTACAATGCAAATTTGTGCGTATTATTACAATTCCCTATGTATTATATGTAAATGATGACTATATTATACTGATATGCATGTCTAGACGACAGATATATATTGGATCCATGTATTTTTTTTTTTTTTTTGATCAAATGGATCCATGTATATATTAAGAAAATTTAGGGGTCAATCATATATATGTCTGACCTAAATATATGTTGAGAGAAAAATTAGGTTTCAAAAGTATCATATACAAGCTACAAAAAATCATCATTCATTTGACATTCTTTGTGTATCAAATGATTGCAAGTATTATACACAATTTAGGTTTCAAACTATCATACAACAGCAACAGAAACAAATTATCACTTGACGTTCTTTGTGAACATTGTGGCATTGAACTGAAATAATATTTGAAGCGTCTATACGAAGGGTTTGATGCCAAAAGAGAAGGGGAACATTGGTGGACCACACTTCTCCTTGTATTATTAAAATAAGCCAACAAAATTTAATAAAGACGAAAATAAATAACAGTGTCACCCAAATTGTGGGGAATATCTAAATTGCTATGATATACATATACATAGCGTGTTTTGTTTGGGTAGTTGATTTCTCAAGTAAATCTCTTGCTTTATAACAAGAGAAAAAACATTTAGTCATTTTGACCTATTACCCATTATGAACACTGGGTTGCAATTTTAAAGATGAGTCCATTAAAAAAATTACAGTTTTGTGCTCATCGATGCATGTTTTTACCGCAAATTCACCATATAATTTTACTAGAGTGTAGCAAACTCATTCCACTAACAAAATAAAGTAAAATTACAACAGCTAAACCGTATACTTATTTAG